GTGACACACATCTTTATCGATGTTTGCCCTCTCCCACCCTAACTCCCTTGTCTTACCCTGTGGCGCTTGCCAGAGGTCCTGGGGATCGGGCCACATGCGGTTAGGAAGCCGTTTCCCTGCAGCAGCCGCAACAGCGCTGGTATCTTTGCAGCTGTTTCTTGCACGTCGGTGAAGCTTTCTGGCGACAAGCGTCTCAAGCTCCTTTTCACGTGGATACCTTTGAGATATGAGCGAGAGCAGCGAGAAGGGATGAGACGCAGAGAAAACGACGGAGACACGGACAGTTGGAGAGTTGGACGACGGCGTGGCAATGTGAACGCTGTTGTGCGTTTGCTTTGCGGCGCGATTCGAAACAAGTAGTGGCTTCGAGTTCAACAATGGAGCCGAAACGCGCAAACGCCTGCATACCTTGCGCAGTGGAAGGCCCTCCAAGAGCTAGGCAGCATCTCGGCAAAGCGGCAGAGATCGCAGAACACGCCCCCTCGATTACAGGGCGATGCTTTGTGGCTGCGCTACTTAGACCCAAGCCGTGCAGCGAGAAGGCGACCAGCCGAAAGACAAAGAGACCACCAATGTCTTCATCCCGCTCCGGCAGCGTCGAAAACTTGCCTGCGTCGTCGTCGTCGTCGTCGTCGTCGTCGTCGTCGTCGTCGTCGTCGTCGTCGTCGTCATTGTTGTTGCTTTTTCGTTCGTGTCAAGTGAGTGAGAACGCTGTAGCAGTGCGAACTCCAGCAATATGAATACCTATCTTTTAAACGACAGGCGTAGGGTACTACCCACCCCCATTACTGCAAACAGCAGCTTCCTCAAAACATTGACATTGCATGCATCACACGTCACTCTCTTCCAGTAGGTGTCCTAGACCGTTTAGCTTTCAGACACACATGCCTTGTGTACAGAACCCTGCCGCAGGCCCATCGAAACCCTTTCGAGGGTGGTGCAGGTAAGACCGGTGGTACCAAGTGGTGCTGGAATCGAGGCTGTCGAACTCTACCATGGTGGAGCATTCCGTGCTCTGGTCGACTTTCGTCACCGCCTGTCTGCAGATTGTCCGAAAGTCCTCGTGCCGGCTGAGCTCAATCGTAAGCTGACCTGCGTCGTGAAAATATTTTGTTGTTTTCGAAACAGTTGTCGAGGGTCGTGTTTCGTCGCCGTACGAGTAACCTAACATGCAATCCCCCCCTATAACGAAGGAACAAGTGCACAAATAAATATTACGACCAATAATATAGCAGACTACAATATTTTTGTGGTTGTGGTTGTGGTTTTTGTTTTGTTGTCTTGACATAAGAAAACCAATTCTGGCCTCCTTCGAACATCTCGAACACCTCCTCTTCTCTTCTCTTCGCAGGCAACGAAACAAAAGCCGTGGTGTCAAGCTATTGTACAGTAGCTCGAGCGTTGAACGTCGGTCTAGGGGGTACTATGGGGCAACTACTCTAAGTTACTGCTGTACTTCATTTGCCCCTACGGCAAGCGGTTTCTTCCAGAACAAAAGGGTGATGCGAACTAGCACGAAGAGAGGACCCAGTGCTTTCAGTGTACCAGTACATCCATAAGAGTTTGCTTTTGTACAAGTACCACCTGGGAAAAGGTGTTGAGAAGCACGACAACCGCTAGACCACCAGTCGGCGCTGACTGATGGTCTAGTGGTCATCTTACTTTTCAACAAAAAAATAATTAGGCTAGACTCGTCTGATGCCCGAGGATCGAATCTCCCCTAGCCCCTAGAGCATGTTGTGCCTAATCGATAAAGTTACAACTTTGCTACTCTCAATCTCAGTGATTAAGCCATACACCCAAGTGATCCAGGCGGGTGCAAAATGAGCTCTGAGCATATCTTTGACTAGATAAAGTTACACCATTAGACTAGTCAGCGCTGACTAGTCTAGACTAAAGGTGTAACTTTATCGATTAGTGCCCTATCTGCGACGCAACATCGCTGCTCGAACCGTTCCGGTTCTGCCGTCAATTCCTCGACGACCTCGCCCTCCGCGACCCCCTTGCTTGTGGAATTCACCCGCTCCTCCGTGCACGACTGTGTTCAGGGCACGGCCGTCGCTGCCCGAATCACCATCATGGGTGGTTACTTTCCACCGAGAACTTGACCAGCATGGTAGATTCTTCGCCATTTCTGCGAGATGTTCAAAATTCGGGTTGCTGCCAGCTCGTTGCGAATCAATCACAAGAGCAGCCTCGTAGGTACCGTAGACTTTTATCTGGGAGTGAATCGATTAACGCATGAGTCTTCCTGGCTTCGACTTCTTTGTCGCCAAGATCGTCCAGCTCGATGCAGATGCGGCGGAACTCCTGAACAACCCGAGCTGGAAGCTGGAAGCTAGAAGCTGGACGGGTTTTCCAGGAGTTACGCCGCATCTACATATGTCGACGATCTTGGCGACAAAGTCGAAGACTTATGGATTCACTCCAAGATGCACTCTACGGCGCCTTCAAGGATGCTCTTGTGATTGATTCGCAACGAGCACGCAGCAACCCGAATGGATCTCGCAGAATAGGCAGGGAAGGGCGCACAAGCGCACAAACAACAATGCGCTCCCAAGTTGCTTTTGGGCGACGGTTTCATTTCGATTACCACGAGAAGGAGAGTAGACTGGAGAAAAAGGACGGCTACTGCTGTACACTCTCGTGCGACCGTATCTAAATCATCCATGACATGAATTTTCCTGGTGCAATTGGGTCGTAGCAATAGCAGGGACGCACCTGGTCGAAACGTTCTCGCCCAAACAATACCACCGCAGTCAGACACTTGCCCGACTACCGGACCGTGGGTGATTCCAGACCGTCGCAGGATGACAAGCTCGCGAAGCTCCACCGCCACCATCTCTCTCTCACGGCACTTCGCTACACGTTGTCGAAGATACTCCAAATCGTTGTCGCGCTGCTCTTTGCGAGCCTGGACAGCCGCGGGATTGTTCTGTCGAAGGTATTCTCCAAGAAAAACTAGAGGGTTGAATCCATAGTCGAACGTGTACTCCAAGAGCTTGTCGTCGTGGGCATCATCGTCCTCGTCATTTTCGTCGTCGTCGACGTCGTCTTCCCTGGGCAATGACCCCACGTCTGCTACGGCTACCGATTCCGGCTCGACGGACACCTCTGTCTTCGCGTCCTCTTCTTGGTCATTATTGCTGTCGTTGTCGTTATCGCTACCGCCGGGCGTACAGGGGCCCTCCTCCGTTATCTTGTTCGGGTCCGGCATCGGCGTTCGGCCGTGCGGGGGGTCGAGCACCCCAAGCTTGGCCGCCTCTTTCAACACCGCTTGGAAGCCGGCGTTGAGTATTGGTGCAATATAAGCAAGATCCAGGGTAGTACTGCTGCCTCCGCTGGTACTGGCATTTCCATCTTTTCTCGAGACAGAGATATCGCGGTCAGCAGTGGGTCCGGTTTCTAGTAAAGTGGTGGTCATGGTACTCGTTGTGGCAGCAACAGCGACTGACTGTACCACCGACAGCTTGATTATGGATGCCGAGCATCGTGTGGTGTCTTCGGGGGTGACGTGAAATATTCCGGAAATCATGCTTGTATGTGCGCACTGTCCACACGGCACAGGGTAGTTGAGTTTGTTTCCTGTTCTTGTAGTACATGCAGCATGCACCATGGTGGTTTTGCGACCTCGCCATCTATTTTTGTACTATCGTGTTGTCTTTAGACTTTGTAGACAACTACAACTTATGCTTGTTCTACTACTGTACAGTACAGCAATGGCAAAGAACTCGCTCGCCTGCACAAGCCCGTGCAGCTCTTGTTATTTACTGTAAACTACTGGTGTGTATGTAATCGACATCGCCCTCTTTAGAACTCCTGTCTCGGTGGTCTATCTGCTGGTATGAGAGAGTAAGACGGTACGTTCCTGGTAAAATAATGGTCCGGGGGTAGCCCCGGCCTCAACTGAAGCCCTTTTCCTTTTTGCCAGCGGGTTCATAGCAGGAAGGGCCATCTCACGATGTGTTCCTGATAGGTAAAGAGGATAACCGAGTTGTGGATTTGACGTGTCCATTGCTAAATTTACTGTGTCTAGAGCCTATTATAAGATCTACATGTGTGTCTAAACATTTTGCTATCAAGCACAGAAAGCGCCTTGGAAATCTTGTGGCAGATAGAAACTAATAATCCTAACCCTAAGAACTTGAGCATCATTTGTGCGCTCGGTTAACCCTCCTAGTAATGGAAGCCCAGGTGGGGAAACTTTTGGGGCACAGCACTCAAATACCCATTTACCGCACCATAGTCACCCTGGGCTCCGCGGTGTGAAACGCATGTGAGAACCTTGGGTCTATCATGCTTGGCTTGCGCGGTACGCTGTGTGAAATGCTGTGGAATGCCTCTCCTCGGCCTCTGACTTGCTGTACACCATCTCCCAAGCCGCGTGCCCCCTAGGTCGTAAAACTGCACTGGTACTGGAAACATTTGCTGACTTGGCTTCAGTATCAAAAGTTTCCCCACATCTTTTGGGGATACTGAAGCCAAGTTGCCATTTGTCTGGCAAGGAGCTTAGATTATTTGGAGGGACTGCGGCCCCTCGACCAATGGCAAACATTTTTGAAACTTTACTTTTTTGCGGAGGGACTGGGTACTAGCAGGATTAAAAACCCTAGAAAAAAAGTTAATCGGCCATTCGTAGCATGACCCTAGTAATAAAGACCCTGCCTTTGGCCAAACCCAGTGGTTCTTAAGTGCGTGCGCGTTCTGTACAAGTACTACACCATCGTCGCTTTTGGTTCGGCGAGAACAATTCGTTTGTGGGAGTGCTTACCATTCACCTAGGCGTGCGTCACGGTTCTTGGCGAGCACGACATATCAACTGTTTTGACTTTCGTGCCAGCCTACGCGAAAACGGGTGGGCGTTTTACACGTGAAGTCGAGAAAAAAGGTACACGCGCGTGGTCGGTCTTGAATGTCACGGCAGTAACAAGACAAGTCGATTGTATTGACCAATGGCAATTTGACGAGAACGAACGAGCCTGGGCACGAACGTCCCTGAGCAATAACCAACCCCCACGCTGACAGCGAGTCCTTGAGCGACCCGCTCCATCCCCAAAGCTGCAGCAGCTCTCTTGTCGGCACGACCTCGACCGATGACCTATTATGACCATGGCCAGATTCTCTGACGCCCTCAAGCAAAACAACGCTCCGTGAAAGCGCAACACAAAGCGCCACTACCCAGTATTTCATGCAACATTGGCGGACTTCGCGATCGTTGTATCTTCATCTTGCACCGCGTGGCTTTCGCCCCCCTCCATTCTCAACCCCGCTCCCGGCGTTCTTGATAGTAGTTCGACGAATTTTTCGACTTCTCGCGCTAGCTCCGCCAACTGCAATGGTCCAGACACACCAGAGATGGACCACCAGTTGTCGTACTTCACAAAGAACACGCCTTCGTAGCTGTTCGATTCGCCGTGACCTCTACCACCGTCGTGGTAAGCCCCACGCGAGAGTGGCATGGACACTTGCTCGAGCTGCTCCCAATTTGTTTCGTGTCGTATACTCCCTCCCTCACGAGAATATACAAGAGCGGAGTGAAGCGGGACGAGCGCATCTAACAACTCTTTTCTCGCCTGAGATCTCAGATCCAATCCCGCTTGTGACAGAATAGGCTCGATGCACGTAAGCACGTCCACCAAGCGCGTCAACGCATCGAACAGATGGAGCCTTTCCCCATCGCCTCCTTTTTCGCCGTTTTCTGCCATCTCCTTCAAGCTTCTTCCACTGCTGCTATTGCTGCTGCTCTGGTAGCCTAGCCGTGGACGTTTGCCCAGCCGGTCGTCCCGCTGAACCGTGCCATCTCCCAAAGCGATGCGAAGATTTGTGGCCAGGAGAGCAGTGCAGCGGCACACGGCCGCCACTGCCGTCGCTGAGAGCAGCTCAATGTTGCACCCTGCCAAGGCCCCGGAAGTTCGGAGCCGGAGACAGGTCTTCCCTGCACTCCAGCGCAGGAGCCTTCCAATAGCCGAAACAAGGACAGGCGCACCCACCTGAAACTCATCGGGGTCTTTCTCTGAAGGCAGAAGACCAAGACCAGCCCCACTTTCCTGGTCACGGGACAACGAACGCAGAGCATTCTCCAGGGAGCACTCCACCATGAAAGGGTTCCAGGATTGCCCCACTAGGTCGGCAGACTGTAGCACTCCAGAGTATGACTCCCAGAGGGCTTGGATAGCCCCGTGCGCGGCGGCCGCAAGAGTTGGACCGCCGTGACATGCGATGCCTTGCAGGGCGAGCTGCAACGCCAGGACCTCCTGACCATTGAAGAACCCAGTTTGAGCCGCGCCCTCGACACAGCGCACGGCCAGCACCTGGAGCAACGACCTGCGCACCTTGCGCCGCGGTATCGACGGTACAGTTCTTGCTTCCGGTAACTTCGTTCTGTTGTGTTGTTTGATCCTTCCTCCCCCTTCCACGAAACATGGTCCGCTGCATCCCGAAGATAACACTTCCCCGAGCACCTGGAAGGGGGGAACGAGTAGGGAATGGCCCGAACCTCCACCAAAGCCGTCACATGTCGATTCCAAGGCGTTCGAAACAACACAAACCTGAAGGAAGGCAGCGAGAACATCGGGAGCGTGGTCCAACCAGCCCGTCAACCGCTCTGTCGCCACCGCAGTGGATGCCAACATTTCCGAAAGAGCAGCGCAGGACTCTTGGAGAGCGAGAACTAGCCCTTGGTTGGTTTTTCGCAGAAGGAAGGAGTCCCTGCCGACAAGAACCAGCAACGCACCAAGCAGATTCAGCACCGACAACAGAGCTTTGAACGTGCTGTCTCCGCCGTCGCCAAATGAACCTTGGCCTCGCCTCTGGCGAAGCAACCCTTGAAGCAAACCTCCACAGGCACGAGCAAGCGGTATTTCTGGAGGCTCCTGGCACGACGCGAACCCAGTGCGCGCACGTACGTCCCGATCGATGGTAGTGTAATAGCCATACGTGCACCGCGCGTGTAGGAAGGCTGACGCTATCTGGGACACACAAGACGCGCACTCGAGCTTGGAGGCCAGGTAGTTGGTGTTGCCTCTGTCGCTATGCCGCGATACCACCGGTGACAACGCCGCCGACAACCCCTCGAGGGTTTCAGGAATTATCGTAGCGAGAGCGCTAGCAAGCTCTTGCTCCAAATCCATGGGCCCGTTGGGGTGGGAGTCTGAATCGAAGGCTAGAGACAACAAGGTATCTGGCGACATCAGAAGTACACACGCCAATCGATAGATGACGGCGTCGGACTGTGAGTGATGCGGCGAATCCTTTCCAGCTTCTACCCTCCAGCGACGGAGGGTAGCCCCCAATATGCCTTTCAACGCCACTCGTTCACTGCAACCAGCGACGAGATCGGCAATGTCGTCATCGGTAGCACCTTGTCGTTCGCAAAAGGCACCAAACTCGGTCAGGGCTCGTTTGACCCGGGCAAGCGGTGCCGCGACTAACCAGTCGGAGACAAACGCTTCGCAGCCTGCCAGAAGGGCAAACGATATGGCCGATGCGGACAGTGGGATCAAGGAGAGGGCTACCTCTTCGACCGAAAACCGAGCAAGCAAGTCCTTGACTGCTGCCGACAGGTCCTCGCCCAACCTAGAGGACAGCTCCCCACCGCGGCCTCCATCGATCTTGTCACCCTCCACCAGTATGATATGAGAGAACAGATTGAGGCAAAATACCGCCTCCGGCACGGTCTTGATGTAGCGGAGTAGGGTCACCGCCGAGTCGATTCTGCATCCCACATGAGGGTGCAGCACGCCTAAGAAGGAAGGGCTAACGCTCACGAGTAATACCTGTCGAACGACGAAGACAACGCGAGAGGCAAGGGAATATAATGTGCAGGAACCGCAAGCGTTGACATAGTAGAAGTAATTGCTATTGTGACTATAGGCTAGTACAACGATATTGCTGCGATTCTTGCGAGGCGGCAAGAATTTGACCACCAGCAAGGTTTACATGCGAGGTTGTTCGTAGTGCCTGGACCCGTTGGATATTGAACGAAAACGACCCGATCAAACGCGATTCTACAAAGGCGATTGGAAGTTGTAAGCCAGAGGTCCCGTGCGGACACGTACCATTTGCTTCGCCTCTACTCGGTTGTACCGTCGTCGGTATCACCACTGGAAGATTACGACGACCACATGACGAGACATGGCGTTTTCTGCCGATACTCTCGGCGTATCCTTCGCCCGTCGGCATAAATAAAAGCGATTTTTCTTTCGTTGGGTCCTGTTTGCTATTTTCAAGTACCTGCCATTGTCCTCGCAGTGCGTTGCATTCAAGCAAAGTGGTATGCCGACAATTCCGGACCGCGGGCTACTGATTCAACCAACGACTAACATGGCAAGGATTTCCGCGTTGGTGATTCAGTCATATAAGTAAGTTGTTCGCTTCCCTACACAATGATATATCTTCCAAGCTGTAGGGCGCCCCACATGCCTCGGCAACAACGTGCAAAAAGATTCATCGTGCATCTCCAAGAAAAGACATGCGGAACTCACCACTAGCTTGCACAAATCGCCGTTGTCTGCTCTCTTGCCAAGCTGAGACATGACGAAGTGATCCAGAGGCATATGCACTTCCTCCCCGCTGCTGACGCCCCTCGTGGTCCACGACTGCAGCATCAAGCGCACCGTCTCTCCGAACGTCGAACCCCTGTCACCGCATTCCATTTCGTGAGATGGGCGGCCGGCTCCGTGGGCACACACCCCGTTGACCCAGCCCTGCGCGTGCAGCAAGCTCTGCAGCACCTCCATCAGCAGGGCGCAGGTCGTCGCACCGTGTGCATCCACAACGTCCGAAGACCCCTCGGAAGACCGCGAGGGATGAGTGGTGGTACCGCCGGAAGATCTGTCCCCCCCACACCGCGCGTAGAGATTCAGCATCCAGGAGACAACGTCTGCCTCCACAACCATCTTCAGGATGGTCCCCAAGCACGAAGCAGGTATGCTGACTTCGCCGGGCGCAATAGAATATTCCTGTTCGCCACCACCGACCGCACCACCACTAGCACGGCTACCACCACTGCCTGGAAATCCAACGCAGTCACGATCTAGCTCCTGGGTGTTTACGAAGGACGGCCGCACATTAAAGAGCTGCCAAGACCCCATCGTTCCGTTCTTGCTGGTTCTACCACCGCTGGCTGCCGCTTCCTCTCGCCGCCGCTTGTGGAACAGCACCGCTGAGGTGGCGTCAACGGCGGCCCCTAAGCAAGACAACCACGCGACGTCGTGGGCGAGATTCTCGGACCGGGCGATCAGGTTACACTGGTAAGACAGGGTGCGCTCGTATGAGCCGAAGACAAGGTCCGCCAGACTGACGCTCTCCTCGCCGCGGGTACCTCTCCTTCCGCCGCCGCCGAAGCGATTCGCCGATGCCTGGCACGACATTCCTCCGACAGTGCTCCCCTGCGATGAAACCCACTCCTCCGCCGTGTGCAACAGACTCTCGTAGACCCGCGCGCACTGGAGAACAAGACCGCCATCGTCGTGACCCTCTTGCTGGCCTGGCCACGACCGGCCGCCCCCGGACTTATCGCACATTCCTTCCCCCGGACTTAGCATATGCGCTTGCTGATGCTGCCGCTGCTGCTTCTGGGAGTCCAGGCAAGCGGCACACTCGAGGTCCTCTTCTAAATGCTCTAGTAACGCCCTTACCGCGTCCAAAAAGTTGCCGCGATCCTAGAAAGGTTAATGGACGGGGAAGGATAGTCTGTGCCGGCGTTTCGTAGATGATAACATTAAACGCGCATCGTAACCGCTTTTCTTGGCATATGTAAACTTTGACTTTATGGCGTGGTGCTGCCGTGGCCAGTATCCTCTGTTGACGAACGATTTGCCTCAAGGGGTACACACCCTGCGGATCGGACGTTTCATCTGCCAAGTGTGTCCGCCGGATAAACAGCATAGACAAGATAGTACAAACTCTCTACACGGGAAACAACTATCTGAACGCCAAGTTGCCAAGGAGGTTTGGCGATTGCACCTTGGACAGCGATATATCACCAGATGCGATGAGACTCAAGACATCGGCCGCCAACCCGATCGCTCGAGTCTTGTTCGGCAGGTCGGAATGGGGCGAAACTGCTGCCGTCGCAAGGAGCTCCTCGACGACCCCCCCTGACGAAGGTACCGTGACAAGGGCTTGCAAGAGGAGACGGGAAGACAAGGCAACCACTGTCGCCTGCAGCAGTTCGTACGGCGCGGGTGGAGCGTTGGGAAAACGTGGAGAGGATAAGCCGCAAGTCACCATATACATGCTTGAATCAGAGTAAGAAATCAAAGTAAAATTGTTCAACACACCTGTCGCTTACGCACTCTGGATAGCCCTGCACGTCATGACTGCAGTTTTGTGCTTGTAACATGGTTCCTCATGAACCCCCGCCGTTGTTGGAACTAAACGGAACCCCGAGCTACCTCAAAAACAAAATATCACCCGACGAGGTAAAAGCAAAAGCTGGTGCCCACGCACCTCATCGTCGCTGCGACTGCCGCCGGCTCGATCGCAGGGTTCTGGACCACACGCCGTCCCACCTCTGAAAGCGTCTAGCAGGATCGGCGCGGCAAATTTCATGCAGAAATTGTCGGCATGGAAGAACTTCACTGGCGACGAAGCGAACGCGTCTGCGGCTTCGAGATAGTGCCTCGTGGAGCCTTCTCGCTCGGACTTGATCGCCTCGAACAAGAAGTCTGACAGGAGAAGAGACAGTCAATTTACAGAAGTTCAGCAGCAGCAGCAGCAGCAGCAGCAGCAGTGTGTCATCCGCCCGAAATACTCAACACGAGCTTCTGCCTGCGATGTATTGCCATTCACCGAGCCATTGTTCAGGTTGTATTGACTTGCAGGTCTCAAGCGCTACCTCTTATGTAGCTTGGACATGATACACGATCCTTTACTAGGCTACACGGTGGTGCATCACAATGCTTGCACCAACGTGAAACCCAAACAAGCCTTGGGTTGGAAACATGTCGACTAACGGCCCGACCCGAGAACATCAAAACCAAGTGAAGCGTGGCTGCCATCTCAGTTCGCTCCAACAAAATGAACAGGAAGGCTTACCGGTCGATCCCGCCGCTAGCATAATTTCTCGGAAGAAAAGGCTACTCCCGTTCCTACGGCTGCCCACAGCGGCGTTTTCGTGCGCTAGTTCGGAATCTTCGCCGAACGGAACGTCACTGCAGAGCGAAGTAATCAGCCGCGCTGTGGCCGAGCGCACCCGATACGACGACGACATCAACAGGGTCTTCAGCGTGCTGCACAGAACTCCACCGGCAAAAGGTTGCTTGCTGGTTTCGCCGCCACCACCAGTCGACAGTACCTCGCGCGGCGCGGCTTCACGTACGCCTTCGAACAATTCGGCCAGCACGTCTGGTACCCCTGTTGACGCAAGCACCAAAGATAACAAGCAGGAAAATGTCACTACTTGTCATCCTTTGGCATGCGGACCGCAGAGCTGTTCTTCCCGTAGTGACATATATGATATTCGGCAATCTCACGTGCGTAAGTTCAATGAGGGTGTACGTTCCCCCTCTTCATGTCCTCCGACCACTAACAAAAGGAGAGGAGATATATGCTCGCCGGCGTGCAAGCAGAATGATGAGGTCAAAACGTGCAAATCTACTGCTTGATTGTCGTTCGGCAATGTCTACAACCAATTGCGCTGTCCCTCTCGATGACTAATGACTCTCAAAGACAAGGACGGAACGACGCAGGCCACGTACTGTCCTTGCCTTCCTCACAACGCTATTTAAGACCACGTTGGAAAAAGAAAGAATCGAATGCTGGAGAAAAAATAAAAATCAAGAAAATAATCCCCGGGGCGTGCGAGAGTAGAAAAAAAGGCCGCCATCGCCATGATACTTCTAAATCATTGTTCCAGGGCCCACTCCCATCTCAGAAATAACCAGCAGGGTACCTCTACATCGCGGAGTCGGGGCAAACGAAGTGGCACTCGCTGGTGCCTATTCCCGGTTGGGAATTTATCTGACAGAGTGCGGCACGCTGTGCACAAGATCTATGGGCGCTCTCACCATCACGATTGGACGACCACCCGGGCACCCCCTTCTCCGTGCGTTGCCGGCAGTACCTCGCGACCGTGGCGAGGTATGCGATGCCGTGCAGCTGGAGGAGTTCATCGGAAGACGACCGTCGGGCCAGAAGTCGAGGAAGGGCCAGCATAATGCTCACGAAGGGGTCGCCCCCAGGGGGAGGAGGCATCAACGGGCCCTGCGTTTATTAAAGGTATGGTGCATTGTCTTGAAGGTGCACCCGTTACGTCGGAGCATGCGAACCAAGCGCACGCACGTCTTGTTTCTTAACCGTAGCGAACCAAGCGCACGCACGTCTTGTTTCTTAACCGTAGCGTTAAGTAAATGAAGAGATTAGAGTCTTCCCTCGCCGCACGATTGAGAGGATGTACGAGGCACGAACAGTTCGGCAAGGCCGAGTGTCAGCAATATCACACAACGCGTGTTCACACCACCAGAATGTGCAGAGATCAGGATGACCTTTAATCACCCTTCATAAATATTCCTTGGCCAACTGTAGTTGACTCAACGCGCGGTATCTCGGAGGGCAGTGGCACGTGTGATCTGATATCCCTGAAACCCATGCTCGCCTGTGGCGCGATGCCAGCACCCATGCATATTGTCGTGCAGCAATCGAGTAGCTCCAAGGCGACGAAAAGCACGTCTGACTTGGTGTGATCCGAGCAAGATGTGGACAACACTTGCGCAGCCAAAAACGCTCCGAAGCCTCGGAGCTCTTCCCCCTCATCGCTGGTTTCAACCCCGCTGCCACCATGACTACGGACAGTCCCCTGGCCGCTTCGATCCCCGATCGCACGAGCTTGTTGTTGTCTTTGCCCGTGACCATCGCGACGTCCGAAGCAAGAGTTCCCGAGGGTGGCGGCCAGAGCACGGTCGTGGGAGGCGTTCGCCAGGAGCTTACCGACCAGGTAAAGGTGGCTGGACGCGCGAGGAAGTCCCAGAGACACGGTACTGGAGATGAGTGAGGTTAGGACGGCCACAGGATTAGGGAGTTCCTCATTGAGCGCCTAGAAAAAGGGCGTGAGCGGAGGGGCGGGGCAGGCAGGAAGGGTGACCGGCGACGACGTTTCAAAAAGGTGTGTGGTTGGTAGCGGCACGTGTGGATGTGTTCGAATCGGTACGAGGGAGGGGAGGGGATGTAATGAGGTGCGGAGTGCGAAGCGCTACCGTTCCTTTCCCTCCGTCCCAGGACGGCAAAAACAGGCTCTAAATATTGGCCAGTACCAACGTGATGCAAGGGCCCAACGTTTAATTTCCGGGGAGCCAAAATAACCAAGGCTCCTCTCGGGAATTTTGCCGCGGTGCTTTCCCGCGGGATTTCCACGGGAACGGTAATTGGTAACGTTACCGTGATAATTCCCCGTTACCGTACCCATCCGAATCGTTACCGAGCAAATGGCCTTCTCCCATTCCCATCCAAATCGTTACCAAGGACGTGAAATCCCGTTGTTCCCAGCCAACCAATTACCGTGCAAATGTCGAAATCCCGTGGCTTTTGGTTACCACCCAAGNTTCCCCGTTACCGTACCCATCCGAATCGTTACCGAGCAAATGGCCTTCTCCCATTCCCATCCAAATCGTTACCAAGGACGTGAAATCCCGTTGTTCCCAGCCAACCAATTACCGTGCAAATGTCGAAATCCCGTGGCTTTTGGTTACCACCCAAGCAATTACCGGCGAGATATAGAAATCCCGGTACCGTGCGGCAACGTCACATGTTTTACCGTACACATAGCTGACGGGGTGGACCACAAACCTGCGGTACTATCCACGGCGGGTTCGGTACTTCACATCGTCTCCCTCTCTTTTTTGCTCTTCCGTTTTTGTTATCTCTCTTCTATCGATCCATAAAACGAAAGGAGAACCTTTTTTTTTGTGTCTTGAGTCTTTCAATATTGGTTTTGAGTATTGCCGTAGTGTGGTGTATTCTTTGTTGGTTGTGTTTGAACTGCTTGCCTGAGATGTGACGCAGATACGGTACACTATGCTTGTGGTTGAGCTCGATATGCGTGTACGTGGTTGAGGTGTCGCTCTGGACGTACTGATGTAGTTCGTTTGTTTTATCCTTTGTCTTTTGCCTCGTCTTTCGCTATCTCGGCCGCGAGATTTTTACCTGTAGTCTCAAAAACAATTGAAAAACGAAATGCGATACGTTCCATTCGTGTGTTTCTCGTGTTCTTTGTAGGACGCGCTGTTTGGGTGTCACGCGCACTAAAAAACAAGCGCTTTGTGCGCGTTTCCATCCTACGTTACCGTGCATTACCGTGGTGGATTACCGTGGTGGCCCGTTACCGCGGCATTACCGTGGTGCCGAGTTACCACCCAACTATTTCCGCGCATTCCCGTGGTGGCTAGTTCCCGTGCGGGAGTTACCGTGCTGGGCGGTTATCACCCAAATATTGCCGTGCATTTACCGTAGTGGCCAGTTACCACCCAAACGTTACCATGATGGCCAGTTCCCACCCAAATATTACCGTGTATTACCGTGTCGGCTGATTCCCGTACCAATCGTTACCGAATTGAGAAATCGTTTCCGAGAGGAGCCTTGAAAATAACCCACCTTTGGGAGCAGAACGAGATCTATAGGGCACCGATCGACGATCTGTTGGCATACAAGGAGAGAGAAAAAAGTGCACTCTTCGTCATACCGGTTTGGTCGTGCTTCGGCGAGAGATGGACGTGCTTCACATGCACTTGTGCCAAACAATCGCAGGAGATTCCTCACCCTGTCCCCTGGGAGGTCAGGAAGGAAAGCAGGATTTCAAAAGTCAAGCGCGCGCGATTCAAACCAGGAGAAGAAACAGAAGTAGCATGCTGCTGACAAGTCTCGCACATCCACAGAATCACACCCACCCACCGTGGTTCAATCCCTTCATAGGTATGAGCACAGCAGTAAAAACAAATCTTGTACCCGCTCTCTGGCTAAACAACAGGAAGAGTCTTAGCGGTTCTATTGGCCGTTGGAAAAGTCGATGGGTGAAGATAGGATAGATTGAGGTCTTACCTACAGCGGCCACAACCGCAGCGGAGAGAGAAGTCGAGGCGGTTGGTGCTGTGGATGCAGCTGTCACGTGGGACTTAGAACGAAATAGGGATGACGTATTTCGCTGGATTGCCATAGGGCGGGGGGTAAGGGAAGCAAACAAACGACGCAACCTCCAGCAAAAGCGAAACATGAGAGGGACTGAGATATTGACAAACGGTCCATGCGAGAGAACGAACTGGCTCGGTTGGAACTGCTGCGCTCCTGCCACTGTCCACTGTCCACCGGCTTTCCACACCGCGCTGCCCGATGGGTTCTATCTAGTGTTTTCGTGTCTTCCACTATGATTGGCCCGCGGAAGTGCTGTTGGGTGCCGATCGGTACTGCTGTAGCATCGCGTGTGTCACGGCGTGTGTCTGCGTTCCTCCGCCGTCCGTTGGTGTAACATTTGACACCAGTGGGAGCGGATGCACAGCAGTCTTGAAGATCCGCTCGATATATTCCGGATACGTATTTATGAAGTGCGGAGGAAGTCTCCATCACACACAGCATCGCAAATAAATATTACAGCAGGTAATGAGCCGACCACGTGACTCATTCCTCCTCCCTATCTAAATCGTATCGGGTGACAATCACATCCTACATATACGACGTTCGTTCGCGTTTCATGGTGGTTCCCCAGGCAACACGTACTGTATGAACAAAGAGTCGTTGACATCTTCTAAACAAAAGTAAAAATGACAGATATGGAGGTCTTATTTTTCGGCTCAGCTATGGGGAAAGCTTTGTTGTGGCAGGAAAGGCGTCGAGCTCCATGGTTCGATTTTAACTCCTGCACAAAGACTTCATGCTGAACGTCCGCGGCGTTCTCTTACGTATAGCACCTCCCTCCGCACCTATCATGCCCGCAGACTATGGAATATTGTTACCGCTGCGTACAAGCAGGCCAGCGGGTCGCTCACCAACATGATATCTGTAGCTGCTTGCACCACCTCCGCATCGTCGCTGCCGATCCCGTTCAGCAGCATGGGCAGGCACGCGTCGATGCCGCCGTTGCGAAGCGACTGTGGTTCATGCACCGCAAGAATGCACCGGATGCCGTCCAAAAGAGCCAGCCTGCGAAAATTTGGAGCGCTGTTGTACCTGGAACGAGACAGCAAGAAGAGGAGACAAGGATGTGGATGGCGAATCAAGGACGGATGTCAGGGGTTGGCTAGGCGACTAAAGAGGTATTGAAGCCACCCAGCTCGGTATCGTTTGTGACGAGAAATCTCTCAACTACTGCTGCAGTATCGCATTCAAATTCAAAAATGCGGCATGAGAACAGCAAGTGTACAGCAGCAGACTAATGCAGTGTAGCGTTCAAATGCTTTATTATCTTCACAAACACACCCAAGTCTTTCCGGTGGAAAGTAGGGCAGACCCGAGACGTCGTAAATGGGCGCCATGAGATGGCACAAATCAGATGATTTGTGGATCTGCCTCTGGGAAGATTAGATACCTGTCCGAAGCACAATGCACACAAAAGAGCGTCCCGTGTGACCCGGAGAACACCGCAGAGTGGAGAAGAGCGTCGTGATCTGAGTTGAGTACATGATCTAGCACGATGGGCACCGTGCTGGCTGTTGCCATCGTTTTGGGGCTGATTTGCAGACGCCGATAGGATTCGTTGACCTGCTTCCTCTACCGCCTCTCCTGCTGCCTGTCTGCTCGCGTTGGTTGCGAGCTTGGGATACCCCACAACACGGTGCCCCCCCCCCCCCCCCCCCCCCCCCCCCCCCCCCCCCCCCCCCCCCCCCCCCCCCCCCCCCCCCCC